CTCCGGAGCCCAGGCCAGCCCAGCCCCGCACCTCGGCGCCCGCCGCCGCGGAACTCCGCGGGCCCAGCCGTCAGGATTGCCGCGGCCGCCTGTCCGCGCCCTCTCCCTGATTGACCATTTTCCTGTCCAGGCCCCTCGGCCTCCCGTGGGGCCCTTTGCACCCGGTTCGTTAGTTACCTGGACATTTAATAACCGCTCGTTACATCCCGACAGTCGTTGTGAGAGCGATTTCTTGAGACAAAGGTCTGGAATTGCTCAAGGAGTTCACCTTCTAGGTTTCAAGATAGCGAGGGTGTTGATAAGGGTCTGGAGAGAGTGCTGAGGAGGAGTCACTAATTCTGAATGAGGGGTAGTCAGGTTGACTTCACCAAGACTGAAGTAGCCCTTGAGGCTGCATTGTCCAATTTGCGAGAGCCACCAGCCGCAGTCCAAATGGAGGGGTGTTGTAACATACACACCAGATTTAGAGGACTTAATTAGCAAGATGTAAAATAGCTAATAAACAATATTTTAGATATATTGGGCCAAATGTATTATTAAAATTTATTTCTCCTACTTCTTTTAACTTTTTAATATGGCTACTGAAATGTTTAAATAATGTTTGTGGCTTGCATTATATTTACTGGACAGAACTACCTCAGAGCATTAAGATGGATTCGACTGGAAAAATTAGAAAGGGCCTACAAAACAGAATAAACACATTACCATTAGAATCTGTTTATAATCTACAAATCACACTTGTTATTTTGTCATCACAACAATTCTGTAAAATTTTATTTTATAGACTTAAGAAATAAGTGACTCAATGTCATAGGTGAAAACACTCCTTTAATATATATTTATTTTTTGCTATGTGCCACACGATGTAACTAAATCCTGAAAGTCAGAGATCCCAAAGGAATTGTTTGTGGATTCAAGGACTCAGTCTGTGGAAACACATCTCAACACTTATTTGCAATAAAATGTAACAGATGCTAAAATGGAGGAATATACTCTGTACTAGGAGCAAAGAAGTGAACCATGCATGGGAGGGAGGTCAGAGAAGGCCTCACAGAAATCTTGAAGTAGAGAAGAATGGAGAGGACTCAATTAATGAGAAAGAGAAGAACGTGCTAGGCATGCAGTTGGGACAGGGCATAGACCATATTCTGGATCAGATCACGGGGTATGTAGAGGAAGTGAGAGCCAGGATTTGTATCTCAGGTCCTGGAACTAAATTCCGGGGTTCTTTTCACTGATGTTACCATAGGTGAGAAATATAAAGGTGTGTTCATCTGGATAGGCTAAAAATACCAGTATCTAAATGGTTTAACTTAATAAAGGCTTATGTTTCATATAAGTGACAGTGTGTAGCAGGTTGATTGGGGCCAGTGAGTAGGTGTCTGCTCCTTGACATCATAGAAGGACCAGGCTTTTTCTATCTTGTGGCTCCACCGTCTCCTGTTACTTTGGAGTCATGCAATCTGTGGGCCTCAGAGAAGGGAGGAAATCTGCGGCTGACTTGTTGGAGATACCAGGGGCCAGCCCTGGAAGTGTGTACATTATTTTCACCCCATTTCCTTAGCCAGAATTCAGGTGCATGGTCATACGGCCCCACCCAACTGCAGAGGTGGCTGGAAAGGAAAGTGTGTGCACTCTAGTAGAAAAGGAAATGGGGTTTAATGAACAATTAGCATTGCCTCTGTCACACATATCATTAAACTAAATTCAAGTAAACCAAGCACCTAAACCTGATTTTACTTGAAAGAGATATTTGGGGAAAGCTGGCAGATTATATCAAAAAAGAAAAGAAAAAGGAGGTAAAATAGTAGTCTTTGGCCTGAAGGCACAATAGTGGGTCATTAATATTTAATAAACATCTACTTTATGCCAGAACTTTGTCTTAAACATCACAGAGGAAAATGTAGAATACCTTTATATTTGGCTTATTGGCTATAATGTGCCATCTCTTTAGCTATCAGTGAACAAACCGAGGTGTAGATATGATCTCAGCATAGGTTTAGAGGCATTCAGTGAGTCAAAAGGCAAAATTAGGTATTGGGCTCTGGCCTTAGACTTATAATCTGGTGCACCTGTCACCAGAGTGGTACTTTACCTTTTACAGTAATATGTGGACAATTTCAACTCCTATGTAATGTTACAAGGTGGGGTAACTAAATATGCAGTGAGTAGCAGGCAGATGATTCCATCTTTCTAAGACTTTCTGGTTGAAGAGCTTCAAGATCATCTTTGAAAGTGAAATGTAGGACGAGCATCTTGGATAGAATCAGAAGACAGTAGCATATGCCTTGGGATGAAGAACACACAGATGTGGAGGTGCTTATCTAGAGTACAGAAGAAATGAAATGGGGAAATTGATAGAAAGATTAGAATAGTGGGTCAAGGATTTTTAATTTACCATGTCAAGTAATAGAGAGTCACTATATTTAGTGTTATAAAGAAGTGATATACCTGATGGGTCTAATTATATCATTCTAAGGAGACTTGGCCATCCAGGGCTGCCCCATTGATAGAGTTCAGAACAACAGAGTGGGATGAGTTGAGTCCAAAGCCAGATTCTAGTGTGTGGAGTACAGAGCTCCTTAGGACACAGCAGTGTTCTTCCTGGGACTCAGGGAGAGGTCCCAGACATTTAAGATTCCAAGTTCTCTGTAGGACTTCAAAAGTCCTTAAGAGACTCAATCTGTTGCCTCTCAGCCTTGGCTCCTTCATTTCTGAACTCTTGTTCTGCCATGGTTTGAATAAGAAAGTATAATGCAGGTGTTTACCAGTTTAGGATTATTTTATAAAAGTTTCTTTATTAGTCAGTTGATTGTAATGAATTGTCAGCTTGGCTTATAAAAAGCCAGTTCAGCTATAATAAACCATACTTTCAATTGCTAATTAGAAGCTAATCACCATTTATGACACTGCTGTTCTTCTATTCAAAGTTTTGAAGCTTGATGTCAGAGATGAATTTTCTACCAGCAGGGCAGTGGAGTTGTTTGCTTCATCTGTGTCCATGACTATATAGAAAAGAGGAAGGTTGAGGGAACTGTCAGGTTAGGACTCCTGTGGAGAGAAAAGGTAAGGGTCCCCTAATCAGTAGTTAATAATTGTAACTGGTACTTGTAGAGCACTTTACAGTTGGCAAAGTGCTTTTGTGTACATGTGATCTTCACAACTCAGGAAGATAGATAAATCATCTTTATCCCTGGTTTACATCTAAGGAAACAGTGGTTCAGACATTTAAAATTTCTTTCTTTTTATTTCTATAATCCTGGGCAGATTTATGTATATATACCTGTTTCCTAATCAATAAGATGAATGTCACTGTACCTATTTTGTAATGTTGTTGTGAAGAATAAATGAGGTGATGTGAATTGCCAACTAAAAATTATCCCTCGCCATCTGACACTACAAGTATTAGGTCACGAGCCACTGCAGTCGCTGACCTTCAACACATCCGGAAAGGAGTTCAGGGCAGAGATCAGGAGTACTCTGCTCTGGAAAAAACTGGCAGAACAGGCCTTCAGACAGTTAGGTATTTTCAGGAGAAGATTTTATGAGCCTAATTTCTTGCATCTTTTCATATCTAGAAAAGCACTAAAATCGTTAAAGGAGACACCTGCTCCTTGTGACTAGCAGCAGCCTTTTTGTGACTAGCAGCAAACTTTTGCCAAAATGTGTGCTTGATTGCATATATTCCCCTTCACCAAAATCACATATATGCTGACCTCCCCTCTACCTCTTCAGAGCAGTTCCTCAGAGCTCTCTGAGGGGCTGTCTCCTGGGCTGTGGTCCTCATTTTGCCCCAAATAAAAATTAACTTACAACTCTCACATTGTGCATTTTTTTCAGTTGTCAAAATAGTTTAATACATAGTGAGAAGTCAATCAGTGATAAGACCTCGAAATTAAAGCTGGATACTGGGTGAAAAAAGGACTTTAGTGGGGTGATGGACAGAGAAAATATGGGATGAAAGATAAATTTTATTCCTGAGTTTCACTGAGATAGACAAATTTGGTTGGATTGGAGTTAGCTGAAGGTGTGGATAGCAGAGTGAGACGCTTTAACTGGAGATTAGCGTGGGGCTTGCAGTTGTTGGTAATAACTAGATATAAGGTATGACTGTGAGAGTGAGCAGCTGATGTTGCGGACAATATCATTCAAAGTAAGAGAAAGTCAAGGAGCTGAGAGGCTGGGTATTAGCAGGGATAGTAATAGAAATATTTAACTACCAGTACTAGCATGGGCATGGATCCATCAAAATGAATGTAGCCTATAGCACTGTGCAGAGTTCTGAGGGCACTAGTGGCTATGAAAATATTTCAGTAGTTTAATGATCATACTTGTGCAATCTAACCCACAGCGTAAGATGGATTGTCCACGTGGATAGCGAAGTCCTTAGGAATGATGATGAGGTTACAGGGAGTGAGATAGCAAGCCAGTTGATGGAGTCCTTAATGAAAGAATGATCAGGACTATGGTCAGTGATAATCACAAGGAAAGGTAGTGTGTGGAATGGCTTGATGGCATGTGCTTCAAAGGAGCAGGACATTATTTAGGGAGGAAGGAGGAAAGTGGTACTTGAGGCAGCAATGAAGAGCAAAGAGAATATTTACTCCATTTCTAACCCTAGATGGCGTAAACGGTGGCTTTCAAATTGCATATATTGTATACAAAAAAATTTGAAAAAATACACATATTTGAAAGCCATCATTTATATAACTGAAATAAAACTTTCATGGAATGATATGTTTAATATTCCATTACTGTATTTTAAAAGTTTTTTATTTGCTACCCACTGAACTGATTTCATAAACCACTCATGGGGTGCAATTAACCATTTGAAAAGCATTGCTATATAAGTTGTAGGAGAAAAAACAGCTACCTATTGAGAGGACTTGCAAGGGAAGCATCCTTTTTCCTCAAGGAGTAGCCAGGTTTCAATTAGAAAAAGGAGGTTAAAGAAACATCTAGCAGAGTTTGAAGGATATAGAGGTGTCTTAGTCTGTTCGGGCTGTTGTAACAAAATGCCATTGACTGGGTGGCTTATAAAGAACATTTATTTTTCACAGTTCTAGAGGTTGAGAAGTCTAAGATCAAGGCACTGACAGATTCAGTGTCTGGTGGGAAACTGCTTTCTGGTGTCTTCTTTCTTGTCTTCACATGACTGGAGGGGTGAGGGGGCTTTATAAGGGCATTAATCCTATTTATGAGGGCTCTTCCCTCATGACCTAATCACTTCCCTGAAGGCCACCTCCAAATACCATCACATTGGGATAGGTTTCAACATGAATTTTGGGAGGGCACAAGCATTCAATCTATAGTGAAGGAATTTGTTGATGACAGATCCTGAATTCTAGGGG